AGGAAACTGAGGGAGCGGGCAGGGAGACTGGTAGGAACAACAAACACCTCTCTCTTTTATTTATTTATTTGAATACCTCAGACAGGCGTCCAACAGCAGTGACTTCAAAGGGGGAGGGTTTTAGTCTATATAATGAATACTTGGCCAAATTGCTGCTGTTTTACAGAGTGAGTAGACGTTGGGATATAACACGACTATTTTTTATTACTTAGCACTTTATATTTTTGGCAAAAACAGAGGAAATAGATGAGTGTGTGCTCCAGGTCCCATCCTCCTCATGAAGGACGAACTGCAGTTTCTTTTTTAAAACACGACATCAAAGACACAGAAGATAACACAAGATCCAAGGAAGAAGTATTTTTAAATCTCTCCAGGTTCAAGGCTCTTATTCTAGACATCGTGACGCTCAGATTGATGTCTGAGAACAAGCGGCTCTTAAAGAGAAAGCATCAATTCTTCAAATTTAAACTAGGCTGCGAGTTAATTTTGGATGGAGCCATCTAGGCGAAATATATTTTGCTCTGGCATTCTCTGTGCATCACTGATTGCGTAATGCTAACAAAGATGTACTCATTAATAGACACACTAGATCTGGCGAGAGATGACTTACTGCGCTCTGTGGCCTACATTTTATTTTCACTGAGATTTGTTCGCTGGCGGATAAAAATAGCACTTTATTAGACAAAAGTATGGACGAAGGATATTTGGATCAAGGTCTTTCTGGAGTTTTTACAAGCAAAGGATTAGCATGCAGACCTGCTGCAGGACAGCACTTCATGCTCTTAGAGGACACTGGTCCACAGCATCTCCTGACACATTAATGTTAACTGTGTCTGAGTAAAGAGAGCGTGTTGTCCTGTCCTCTAGGTCCCTTGTGTTAATCACCAATCAGTGGAGGAGCTATAAACCCTCTGAAGCACATATATCCTGCAGTTAGTTCCATATTTGTGTGCGAACCACAGCTAATGCACATGATATCCTTCTCTTCAACAACTCAGAGATCATTCGGTGGATGTTTTCGTTCCTCCCATGAACAACAAGAGGCTAGTTTGTGTTGTCATGCAGATCAAATATATTTTATTCATGTGGACAAACTGTGCGAGAGATGTGGAGCTACACTAACAAGCAGCTACGAGGACTGGGCTCAAAACACAATCTGAAAAAAGATTTGTAGACATCTGAGTGTAATTCAGTACAACTTGGGTACTGCTCTGGTCGTTTGAGAAAGACTCACATGTACTTCTTCATTTTTAAAACCAGCAGCCCTTGAGTTTGTTAGAAAGAAGAAGAATCTCAGCGTGGACAAAGTGCATTTTTGTCCCGTGCACACTTCTTGGAGTAATTCATAAGATAAACTTGGACAAGCTGTTTTCATTTAAGCACCACATTCAAGTGTGTTCTTTAATGTTGTGGTATACAGCAGACTGCAGTGAAGGTACAATATGTACAGCATATTTACACTTCACACAAGTCCTTTCCAAATGCTGCCAATAATCCCTCACAGACTGAAGTATGGCAAGCATAGAAGGTCAACGGTTGACATAGGTTGAGAACAATTTAGACAAAAAAAGTGTAAAAGATCAGAACTTTTTTTAAAGAGATATCGCTCAATATCGAAATAGTCTACTGCAGTGTTGTAATGTTGTAAAGTGTTGCTGTTATTTTGTCCACCTTCTGTGTGTGCTGCCATACAGAAACAGGGTTATAAAAGCAGAGATGTGTGGGTGTCGTGTTTTCTGAGCCGGCTGCAGGCGGTGGGGAAGCATGTCCCCCGTCTGCCTCCAGCTGGCGCTCGAAACAAGGACGCCCACGCTCCAAACCCCGCCTCCAACATAACAACAACCCCATAACAAATCTGTAGAAGGATCATTTAGACATGATATTTAAGGCCATTTCTAGTTTTAGTTACCCAATAGGTTAGAGAGGAGATGTAAGAATATATAATAATCATAAATGTGTGGATTTATTTGCGCAGGTTGAGGTGCCGAAACCTGAAGAAGTGACTCCACCCGCCTCTGAGCAGCCAGCAACAACCTCTGCATAACCTCACACATACACACACACACACACACACACACACACACACACACACACACACACACTCTCTTTCACATGTATCCCATTGTATTATTTGTTCAATAAATGTGTAAAATAATATAACAAATCACTCCCATTTTTCTCATTCTTACTTAAATTGCTCAAAAATGTAAGTAAATAATTTCCCATGACCCCTTTCTGGTACAAAACAAAGCGTTGTGTGTGTGTGTGTTGACAAAGATTGTAACACTCCTGGGGGGGGAAAGGTGCTTCAGTTGTTCAGCTGATGAGGAGGAGTAAGAGTGAAAATTGAAACGTGTGGATGTCGGTTACTGTATGCGTGTGTCAGCAGTTTGCTCAACAACAACAGCGGAGTGTGTGTGTGTGTGTGTTAGCCGAAGGCAGCTGTTGCGTCTATCACTTATCAAACAGGTGGCTCTCAATCCTCAGAGTGTGTTTGAGTCAAGTGTGAGAAAGTGTGAGCGAGCCTGAGGATCGGAGTCCAGGCATTTTGTTACATTAAACAAAACACTCCTGGAGATGTTTGCCACAGCTAGCCTTTCTCTCAGCCAACAAAAGAATCTGTGTGTGTGTAGAGACTGTATCACAATCTACAATGGTTTACCACTTTCCAATGAGACACCTTTTTAAAAGAGCTTTATAAATTGAAATGAATGGCATGTTTTCATGTGTGTATATCAACTATGTGTGAAGTCTTTTATTTATTTTATTTATAAAAGCACATGAGAATAGTTGCAGTCTTTTTGAAAGATAAAAAAAAATCAGATCAAAGAATATAAATAGATGTGTTGGGATCATCATTGATAATTTATGATACGAATAATTTACAGACTGTCCTGGTGCCTTCAGACGATCCATATTCATATTAAAGGCCTCTACAATTATTAATAATTATAGAAATGATATTTTGGGAAAAACATTTACTATAATTTGAACCCGTTTAACCGAGCGTTAGTAAGAGGTACCCATAGTTCCATAGTTTTTATTATCATGCTGCTAGCTTACTTTAGTGGGTTAGCTCTCCTCTCGTGTTACAGTACAGGTGGTTACAGACAGCTGGTAATGACCACCGAAGAAACATTGAGCAGCCCCTCCCTGTCATACAGATCTATGTCGGACATTTGAGCCCCCGCCACTGTGTGTGTTTGACAAGTAAGATAAGTTAAGACAGGTACCCCCCCTCTAACCTCAGATTAACCAGCGAGGGTTTTGTAACAGGCATTTTTCTTGCATTTAATCACAGCCCAGCGGCATCAATCCCCATCAGGAGACTTCTGAGGGTCGAGCAAAGCCACTAAACTGGGTGCAGCTGTCTGGGCTACGACCCCCACCCCAACACACACTGACAGAGTGCAAGACACACCCAAGGACATATGCCTCGGACCCTGAGAGCACAGTCACACCAATTGAGATGTTTGAATCTGTGCCATGAATTCCTCGCCTCTAGAGATGACTGCTGCGCCCGCTGCTCAAACATTATTAAAATTGAATAGCTACTAAAACATGCCGCAATAATGCATTCCTATAAATCAATTCATAATGCGTTTCTCTTATCCGGCTTTTGCGCGAGAGCTTGCGCAGTAGGAGGTCAACATTGAAGTCGCCCAAGAGGTTCCTTATTAAGTTTCATATAGTATAAGGAATCATTGGAAGCATTGAAATAGTTTGAAGCTGGTTAATAAACCAGCTCCTTACTCAAATATTGTGTAAGAAACTATGCCACAAACATCCAGAGAAAGAAAAGGGGTCTAATATCTTTAAAAATGTATAACTGCAGTGCTTCTCGACAGTTAATGTCTTTATTAGTAAAATTATGATAATCTATCAAGTGAAGCCAAACCGTAAATGTACCTTCTGTCTCTGCAAAGTGAGTAATCATAGTGCACATTTTCAGTTTCCTAGAGAAAAGGCACTGATTCATTTCCTGTTTTCCAGCCTTGGGAGTGCTTTTCCTTTATCCTTTAAGCCTTTCATTGTTTTGGGACTGCACCTGGAATTTGCTTTGAGCACAGCACCTTGATCCAAGGCTGGAATGATCTTTGTCATATATTTCCTCCTGAAACATCTCACATTTAATAATATTGGAATGTGATAATCAACTAGAGGGGTCTTTACAAGTGAAAACATTCAAACACTTCAATGCAAAACGTGCTAATGCCCATTTCAATCAATATTACAGTTGTACTTATTATAAGGCATTAGACTGTTTTGAGGGTAATTTGGATTTACATTGTCCATGTTTTAAATAAATACATGGGCCTCATCCAAGGCTTGTTTGTTAGTACATTTTAACAGGAGGCAATTCTTTAGTGCTATAGAAAAATGGCATTGAAATACATTTTTAGAACAGTTGTAAAAAGCCAAGATAATACAACTATTTCTGCTAAAAATGTAACAATGATCGAGAGTCAGACCTAAACATTTCAGATCTCACACTACACTGTAACCTTAATTCATACCTTTGTTATTCATGTTTTATTATCTTTGCTTTTAAATGAGTGTTTTGAAATGCCCTTTTATAATATGTTTCTTAATGGTCTTAATGTCTTTCATTTTTGTAAAGCACTTTGAATTTCCTTGTGTTGAAATGTGCTTGGCCTATATAAATATACTTGCCTTGCCTTACAAATAAAACTCGTTTAAATAGAATAAGACAGTCATAAAAAAACAATATTTAGTCTTCTGAAGATAAATGAAGATCTCTGATATTTCAAACCAACTTTAGGGTCACCTCGGGTCCCTAGTCTCAAGGTGCGGTAAGATGCGTGCCACACCTTGTTGCCATGCCCACGCAGTTGCCTCCCGTTATTTGGCCATTTGTCAGTGCAGTGCGCGTCTTGGACACCGCGCTGCGCTCTTGCCGCTCCGCCGCGCTGCTTGTCTGACGCGCTCCCCCCTCCCTCCCTCCCTCCCTCCCTCCCTCCTCTCCACCCTCACCCAGCGCAGGAGCAACACACCCCAGTGGGAGAGAGGACGTCCAACCGCATCTTTCATAGTAACCGAGGCTCACTTCTCAGCCAGGACCCCGGTGTTTCTGACCGATCTGTCTCGGAGGTGCGTCCAGATAATCCGCTTTCTCCGCGCCGCTTCTCTTCGCTCCCGTTCCGCTCGGCGCCGGATCGGTCCGCTCGCTTCCCCCCGGAGATCAGTTCATTCCCTGGAAGCTGGATGAATTATTGGAGAGTTGTGAATAAGTGCGAGAAGAAAGCTGAGGCTCGGGATCCTCGCTCCGTCCAGGGAAGACAACACTCTGCCAGAGTTGTGGACGAGAATGGAGGGGACGTCCCTGTATCTTCCTATTGTTATTTTACTGATGCAATGTAAGTGACTAACGGAAAGTGTTCAGAATTACTCACTGTTTCTCTGGCTGTTTGCTTCCTTACTTCTCTCTAAGAGATAATGCTTTGAAAATAGAGTTAAGTGCCTGATAGTAGCTTAATGTACTTTAATTGATCTAATTATAAGGATTTCTGTTTTATTCTAACCATGGATGTCGAGGATCTAAAAAAATGCAGTCAAATTTGTGCTCTTCGACTTAATTTGATTAACATGTTTTCTTACTCAAATAGTTGCTTTCTCATTTTCTTAAGGTTTTATTTCTAAAGCAAAAAAATAAATTTGAAATCATGAATTGACGTTTGAACCCTCCACAAGATAACACTTATGAAATTGATTACAAAAGTGCTCGCCTTAAGCAATCTTTTATTTATAATACTGTATTTGTATTGTTACTGTCCGTGGATCTCTAGGATCTATACTTTCCCCAAAAAGTCATTCAAGTGTAAAAAAATGTTTTCAACTAGTGAATTTACCTATTTTGAAATAGTGGTTTTATTTAATTACAGTTTATTTCAGGTTTTATTATTTTATTCAGAACATACATTTTTCGCAGTGTTAATACGCAGTTTCCCAGTTTAGTTGAAGCCCCTATAGATCCATAGAAAACAGCCCTAAAGGTGTATTTGGCGGGGTGCCACCCAAGGGTGTGGGCAGCATGGTGGTAGCAGGCACCTGTTTCTGGCAGGAGAGGTGTGGGATCAATGCATGAAGTCAGCGTTTGGATTTCAACCAGAAATGTCAAACTGTTTATCCTCACGCTGAGGTGTTTTTGATGCTACCAGGAGACAAGTGGAGATGAACAGGATAAAACTTGTTTATTTAAAAAGCAAAAAGGCAACCTTTCCATGATGGAAAAAAGGAGATAGTGCCTCCAGGAGAGCAGGAGCAGTGTGGGATGGATGTGATGAGACAGGGAGAGTGAGTGACGCAGATTTTACTCTGTGTTTGCCACCTGCCAGGCCACCAGGTCACAAGTTCACAGAGGTGTGCGTGTGTCCAGTCCCGCTGTGGACAACCTGTCAGAAATCACTCAAGTTACACACACACACACACACACACACACACACACACACACACACACACACACACACACACACACACACACACACACACACACACACACACACACACACACACACACACACACACACACACAGAGAGAGAGATGTCAACAGGGCAGCTTAAAATCTGTCTGATGAACGCCTGTCGAGTGTATTATTTAAAAGGAAAAAAAAGAAAAGAGGGAATGTTTTTGATTTGTCTGTGAGTTGAGAAAGACAACCCCCATCTCAACCTCACACACTCACAGAGACAGCTGTTGCTCACAGAGTTACAGTCACACAGAGAGGCTTTGTTCAAATGGAACACACACACACACACACACACACACACACACACACACGGTCAGTCCTCCCTGTTCCCCCCCCCCCTTGAAACGTGTGCCGTGCACTTCCACGTTATCTATATCACAAAGCCGGGCAGGATACGCCCTATGGGCCTACCTCCCTTCCATTTGTCCTGTTAATTTTAATAAGTGCCTTAATTATTACTGCGCCATGCTTTTGACCTCGCCACAGCCCTGGCAACACCCACCCCAGTGTCTGTAACACTCTGTACGGACCACGTAATGAGAGGAAAGCTGCGTGCCAAGGAGCGAGCGTGCCATCTTTCTATTTTTGCTCAGGCTGTGCCTCTGTGAGTTTAAGCTGTCGAGGCTTGATGTTGATACGAGATGTGTGTGTGTGTCTGTGTTGACGGCTTTGTCTGCTAGGTCCATCCCAGAAGCATTTTAATTACCCTTGTATCTGAGGCCATATTGGAGGATCTACAGAAACCTGCTGGAAAAACTTGATTTAAAAATCAATATAAGCATTTTTCTAACTTCCATTTCAGTTTGTGAGTCATACTTGTTAAAATTATCATTTTACCCGGAGCCAATTCTCAGTCTAATGTACCAGTATCTAAAGTCTGGCAACCATTTATGATCAAATCACGATTAGAACTCAAAGTATCCTGTTGACTATAGATTTTTTTTTTTTTTTCTTCAATTTGGGCCTAATACTAACTTTGAAATCTGGCAACAGGCAGCTCTTGGTTGCCGAAACTGCAAATATGCCATTTGCTGTTTTTAGTACCCTTATGTTTTGAGTGCTGAATATATGCGGTTAGCTTTATTTGAAAATGAGACATACTGTAAACGTATTTAAACTTTATTACAAGACAACAATGATCCTGCTGAGGCCTGTGTAAACGCCCTTGCAGCATTTAATGAGTCTGGGTCTGACTGACTGTCGTGTTCTATAAATATCATTAATGCAAAGAAAATATAATATATACTTCTTTATGGTGCATGTTTTTCGCTGTCCCTATATTATATATATATATATATATATGTATATATATATATATATAGCCAATGTTTTGACAATTTCTCAAAATGTTATGTTATAATCCTGCCTCCCAACAATAGTTAGTTACCTTGCAATACAGACAGAACCTCATGTGTGCAACAGAAGCCACTGAAAAGCCACCCAGTGCTCAGTGCTCCACTTCATGCCACGGATCATGCATTTGTCTAAAACCTGAGTAATGTTACTTGTCGGCTTCTTAGACAGAACGTCTTTTCATTTAAAAAGTTACACCATGTTAACATTTCCCACCATGCAGTTGTGAAACGATCCAATCTCGCCATGTGTTCATTGTCTGCCTCGACACTTCTGTACTTAATTGAGGCCATGGAAGCTGACAGTGTTCGTAGTAGAAGAGCACGACACAGGCCTCACATGCACAGCCTGATTTTTTATGTGTGCGTGTGTGTCAGTCAGTGCAGCGGTAAAGTGCGGGCATGTTGTCAGCCCCGCTTGGTTTCCTCTTCTCAAAGAGACACAGTCGAAGGTGGCGGCAGGCCTGGTCTCACATTATGTGACAAGAGCGTCTCCCATTCACAGTCCCACTGTCTGAGAGGATCTCCCTTGCCTTCAATCCCACTCTCTCTTTTATTCATGCTCCTGCAAGTCTCCCTCCGCTAACCTCCACCCGCCTCACTCTCCTCCACTCCACTTCATTTGTATTCTATTCTTAGGGCCGCTCATCTCTCCTTTGTCGTGCCTTTTTTAATCTCATTGTATCTCCCTCCCTCGTCATGCTCATCCTGAGACAATGCTCCTCAGAGGGTGTCGAGGTACGGGAGCCAAGGCCACGATGATAATCCTGTTACATCGCCACAAGTCAACACATGGCGGGGAAAAGGGAGCGTCTGCAGGGAGTGTGCAGTTTTAATTCACTTAGCGCAAAGTAAGCGAAGCTGCTATAAATTGAGCCAACTTCAGGAAAAGCTTTTAAAAAGTATGCGACATTTGGCAGACATTATTATTGTAAAGGCTGTTGTTTATTTAAAGGTTTATTTTTAAAATAGCTGTTGTCGTGGAAAAAGAGCGAGAGAGACCTTTGGGTTTTTCTAACCAGCTTCAGTTTGTGGAGACGCCCAACATGGCCTGTTTTCTGTCCACACTTCCTGCCCTTTGTCTCAGTTTGCCCTCCATTCTTCCATGTCACCCCTCCCTTCAGAAGAGAAACATCTAACTTAGAGTCATCCAGGAACAATGGGCCCACACAGGAAGTGACTGACAAACAGGAAACGGTTCTCTTGTTTTTAAATTGACAATTGTGAGATTTGAATCTGCACGCATCATGGCATCAGCAGAAACAATGGCAGGAAGTAAATGCATGTGTCAGAGAATGTATTTTAGGCTTTCCAGAATATGTGTATATTTTCAATACACCAACGTTTTTGAATAGCCCTTAATGTTCTGAGTGAGTACCGCAGAGGCCCATTCAACATTTATAATGTCATTTAAAAAATGCACGGCCTTAAGAAAAACTCTCTTTACTTAAAGTTGCAGACTTCTGGGAGACGTTACAGTGTTGGTGCAGCAGCTGCGAGTGTTTACTGTTCTTACAGTGTGCATGTTTGTAACCCTCTTTCCCTCAGGCAACCTTCAACCGCAATGAATCTGTATTTAACGGCCTGACGACCAGGCAATAATCCGCTCCGTAAACCAATCGGGACACAGGAAAGAGTTGCTCCTGCTTCCTTTTCCTGTTTGGTGGTATCAGTGACACGCAGACGTCCGGAGAAGCAAACCTGGACAGCGTGCCGTCGGCCTCTTAGCTAATGCCTCTCTCATACATCAGGGTAATCTGGACAAGCCTCTGTTGATATGCTTGGTGACCTTCACCTAACCTGCGTTTAAATAAACCCACGGCAACACGGCTCCTTAACCCCTCTGGATTAGAGCGGAGCAGGTAGTAATCCTGCTCTCACTTCGGATTTCCTGGAGATCTCTGGCTGCCTCAGACAGTAAACCAAAGACAGCCATTAAGCATTCTCCTCTCGCAGTTGGCGGGCAATGTGGAGCACTTTACCCAATTCACCTTGCCCCCTAATGGATGAAAAGCATTTTTGAAATGCTCTCACCCCTCTTGTTGTATCTCCCCCTCCCCTGTCTTCTCCACCGCCAGGTTCCCCCTCCGTTCCTGTCTCTGTGTCCACAGAAAGACACAAGGTGGAGGCGCACGAGTTTTCAGGTGAGGCAAAAAGAAAAAACATCCCCCCCTTGTGAGTTGCTGCTTTGTTAGATTCACTCTGACAGAATAAACCACAAGGCTATAAATAGACCGAGCAGTTAAAAATGTCCCTGATTGAAGGCTTCGCTATTCTGCCATAAATATCTCATTGGTGTCCCTTTTTCAGATGCCGTGCTGTCATGCACGTTCCGCACCGAGAAAGACCAGAACCCGCGCATCGAGTGGAAGAAGAAGGGCAGAGGTGTTTCCCTCGTGTACTATGATGGACACTTCAAAGGTGTGGAAGCTTGCAGTGGAGTTTGCCATGTATCATGAGAATGAAAAACCACCTGGATGCTGTGGGAGATATTTTAGCACAGTCATGTGTCAATGGTAGCAAGGCATAACGTCCTAACACACCTCTTATCCTTGACCCTTCTTCCGGGGTTAAGGATATGGATTTAATGGTTGAAATAAATGAAACACTAGCTGTCGTGCCGTCAGATTGATCAAGCATCCTCTTCCCTATTACAGCCGGAGTAGGTTTAAAGGTAATCCAGCCTGAGCCTTTTGTTGTTGAAATGCATCAAAGTCCACTTAGAAGAGCGTTGACTTGTGAAATGTTCAAAACAAGCTCTGTGTGACTTCTTTCATCTAAATCTGCACATCACACAAAGAAAAAATCTATACTATCTTTTCTTTTTCTTTTAAGACCATGGTTTAGGATTAATGTAATGTCACTTTTTAGTTAATTTATGTATAAAGAAATTTGCATATCGACTTTAGACATTTCCTCTTCGTTCTCCCTGACCTTCTGTCCTTTCCTCCAGCTCCCTTTGAGGGCCGGGCGTCTATTGAAGGGGCCACGGTGACGCTGCAGAGGGTGACCCAGGAGGATGCTGGGGAGTACCGCTGCGAGATCAGCGCTCCTAACGACTCCGTCCAACTGGGCGAGACCAACGTCACGCTCAAAGTCCTGGGTAAAGAAAATCAATGACAGAAAAAACAGCTCAAATATTTATGAGATCGGCTTGTTTTGTTTCTCCAGGTTTTTCTTATGTTTCTTTAATTTCCTCCCTTGTCCTGCCCTCCAGTTCCCCCCCACACCCCGTCCTGTGAAATTCCCAGTGGGGCAGTGACGGGCTCTGTGGTGCAGCTGCGCTGTAGGGACCAGCAGAGCATCCCGCCTGCCACATACTCCTGGTTCAAGGACAGCATACAGTTGAGCCCGCCATGGCGGGCCAACACCACCTTTGTGATCAACTCACACACAGGAGTGCTGGTGAGTGTGTGTCTGATTAGGGAAGGATGAGGAGTGTGTTGGAAATAGTTTACAATGTCTCCTTGCAATATCATGTCTCATCAGAATCAGAAACGGGTTCAGAATCAGAGACAGGTTTATTACCAGGTAGGTTGACACGTACGAGGAATTTGACTTGGTGTCGTGCACCACGACACCAAGTCAAATTCCTCGTACGTGTCAACCTACCTGGTTGTTTTTTGTTCAACAACAAAAAACACAGATAGCGAACTATTTTGAGAACACTATAATAACATTACAGAAAAAATATAGTAAAATAGAAAATGAAATAAAGCAGTAATTTACATTGAAATAGAATGCAATAAAATATGTGCAGTAAGCAAACCAGATATTGTGTGCATTATTGAAAGAATCAAGGAAGTTCTGCTGTCAGGTTTTGTTGAAGGTGCTCTTTGGTTTGATGGTAGTTCTTCTTGCTCATGGACATGTCAGCAGATCTAAATCTAAAACGCTCATCATAAATACTTTTCTTCTTCCCTCTCTGTCTCTATGCAGGAGTTTAAAGCGGTAGCCAAAGAGGACACCGGTCGATACAGCTGCCTGGCTTCCAACGGAGTGGGGCCGCCCAAGATGTGCGAGGCCAAGCACATGAAGATAGGTGTGTGTGTTCTTCCTGTGTGTGTGTGTGTGTATGCCTCTTCCCCACACCCTTCAGCACTGGAGAAGCTCAGGGATGCAGTGGAGAGGAAAGGCCTACTAAACTAATAAAAACCTTTACGAAGGGACTTCAGATTCCAAGGGCCACCGTGATCTAAAAATGAAGCATTCCTGAGGGAAGGTCTTCAGCTTGTTAATGAATCCTGTAATGGACATTAGGTTGATGCAAGACTACACTAAATAAATTATAGGAGATGTTATTAGAGTACATTAGACAGGGTTACATCCTTCCTGTTTGTTTGAGGATGTAATGTTTACCACCATGTTCTGTGACTTCCATGACATGAAATCGAGGTTTTTTCCTCCATGTATTTACTGCTGCATATGTAAAACAGACCATAACTCACACTTTATTTCCATCCCGCCTCCAGAGGATGTCAATATCTTGGCGGTGGTGGCAGCGGTGGTGGTGGTCTTCCTGGTGGTGGTGGCCTGCAGCTGTGGTGGACTCTTCTTGCATCGCAATGGCTTCTTCAGCCGTGAGTTTGTGTAGTTTAAATGTTATCTGCGCTTTAAAAAAAATCTAACAACCAATTATTTTTGTATTTATTTTAAAACAACTGACATTCACTGTTTTTTCTCTCCCATGCTTCTCCCTGATCCGTGGGCAGGACACAGAGGAAGGTAAGAGCTCTGTGATTGCATTAACATTGATGTGAACAAACACAGGCTAATACCCACACGCTTAAGACTGAGGGGGGGGGGTTGTTGTTGCACTTATAGACTGCGTGTCTGTGCTGACTCAGGACTGTATACAGTGACAGCTGTGGCTGTGTGTGTCTACATGTGTGTGTGTTTGAGCCACAGCAGTGCTTGCGTTCCTACTCCTCATGTGATTGGCGCCAGCAGATGTACAAACCATGGGGAAAAGGTTGTTTTTTTAAATTGATTGCCTCTTCCTGGCAGAGCTGCATCTGTTGAATTCATGTCAATTTGTAGCAAGACTGATGATCTAAACATGCAGACATTTAAAAAGGGGGGGGGAGGAATAATGAGTGTAACACACTTCTGGAATAATTACCCTCCGTTAATCAGCAAGGAGGAAAAATATTGGCAGAAAGAATAGCGAGCAACTAAACTGATTGGATGGGTAATTTGAAATGGATTATTTAGATATCGAGGAGATAGAAAAATGATGCTGTGGCGTGGCAGAGGGCTGTGAGTGCATTCACACACACGAGTGGGCGAAAGGCCGTTGTGATGCTTGACTGGTTTATAAGCCAGAGACCGCGGTGACATAAATGCATGTCCTCGTGTGACTGGCCTAATTCGCTTGACTTTATGTTATTTGATTACTGGCCTGTTACTGCGCAGCGTTTGATGGAGAGTCACTGTGGAGCTCATCTTGAAGCTGATGCGGAAGCTCTTTGTCTAGGTTAAAGTCTGATGCTTATCCCAGTGAGCTAACTGGAGCTGTCAGTGTCAACTTCCTATTTATAGACCGGGCTTCTTCACAAAGACTCAAAGACAATGTGACATGGTATCTGATGTACCAGTGAACAAAATAGGAATGCAGATCTGGGATTGAGCCCTGCCTTGAAAAAATAAAAATAAAAACAGTAAAGCGGACCTGGTTATTTTAGATTTCACAATGAATTTGTTGTAACACAACATTGCACTACTTTAGTATGAATACAATACATTTAACTAAAACAATCCTTTTGTAAAATAAAGTGCCCTAATCTGCAATTTTGTTAGGGTCCAATTTCATCCTCAGAGTCTGTACGTGCAGGCTCTGTGTGAACGTCCACGCTTTATCAATCAAGGCCCTTCCACAGGTGTAATACAAACCTGAAATAGAGGGAGTAGAAAAGAGTCAGAAAGCATTTAGCGTTGTGTATCAGGGTGTTGGATTGCTGCATGTGATTGGCTCACCACTTGACCTGCTCAGCTCTGCTGCATCCCGATTGGCTGCATGTCAGTACAGGTTTGTTGCCACAACCCTAGTTCTGTAAACATGTGCGTATCATTTCTGTCACTTAAATTGGTTATTGAGGGGTTGTCACGTGACATTACGATAGACCCCGAATATACAGAAATGAAATGCACAACTCCTCACTAATAGAGTTATGGTGGCACACCTTACACATCAATGACTTTACTAATAAACCCCCCCCTCCACTCCATTAAAGCATGGCGTGCAGTGTCACTCCAAAGTCATACCCTCCTTTTGTTAAAGCCAACACAATGATCCCTACAGGTCATTTTGGATCTCCCAGTGTCATGGTGCAGCCCACATCAGCAGCCAAACCCTGCACAGAACTGAGGACACGTGAGTGTGACCTTAAGGCCAACGGCAGATATGGAAGAAATTAAAAGCCATAACAATTCGAATTTGAAACAAAACTGATAGCAATCATGATGTTTAACCATGAATACAAATATAAATACGCTTGGGCTTTTGTCCTCTCCTGCAACCACTATAGACTCCATGAAATCAACGCACCTGGCCAATGAATAGTTTGGTACATAACCGTGTGTAAAACCGCAAATTGTCAGTTTTCACGTTTTGCTTTCAAGTGTTATTTTGCTTTTCAATTGAAAGGTAGGTGAAATAACAGAGACAGGTCTCTGCATAATGCACCACAGCGCTATTAACCTTTATTATGACCATACAGATTGCTTGGGTTTTACGAGAAACACTATGACCTTCGTGAAAGTCATTCTAATTACAGGACTGTTGTATTTGATTATATTATGTTTAGCCAAGTGAACGTTATACATTGGCAACTGAGTGTATATTGACTGTAAATCTAACACTGACTGAGCTAAACTCCCCTTACACATTCCTCTCCCATGCCTAATATATTCCTGCTCAGAGTCATACTTTCCTTTTTACCCACTGGGAAGTTTGCCATGTATGATGTGCATTATTTATGCAGAGCAAAATATGAGTCAGGATACAGCTGTCTGCCTGGAGAGTCTGTTCTTCTTTGTGACTGTGTCAAACTGTCCAATGTGCTTACCCACGTCTTTATCTTTCAGGTCCAATGTCAACTACATCCCTCCGCCCCAAGAAGTAAGAGTTTTTTTTTTTAATTTACTCGTTTCCTCCTTTCCCCTTCCTCTCATGATAGATTCAGAGCAGTGACATCAGCATAGTGCTGACCGAAGCAGGAGCTGTTGAGACTTCTCTAACGAATGTTGCTGTGTTGAAATCACAACCTCTGGAACCATAATTCTCAAACATGCCGTAGAAAACCGTTCGATACTAATACTTGATTTTCTGTGTGCCTCCAGGACTTCAAACACACCCAGTCCTTCATGCTCTGAGAAGCTGGCCTTCCTTTGAAAACACATCACCCTCGTGAAAAGGTGCCAAACACTGGATTCTCTGATTTATTAAGTCACTGGACTCTGAATGAGCTCTTTATCTTCCAACACATGCATTTCAATCTTCTTCTTCTACCACTCCTTTTTGGCGTGGCACGGACATTTGCAAGGCTTCTTTCTCTCTTGCTTTGCACTGTGTGGGTCCCCTCAGTCACTGGTGTTTCTGCTTTTATGAGATTAACTTCACTTTCATGACGTTGTGCTCCCCCCTGGTGGTCAGATGTTTAAAGTGGACCTATCATGCTATATTTGAATAATATATTGTAGGGCCATACCTATATAAAACATGTCTGTCAAGTTTTATTTTCAAAATACCAAACAGATCATGCATTTTAGCCATGCCTCATTTCGCTCTATTTGCTGTATTCCAGCCCTGTTTTTGCAAGGGCTGATTCTGTGGCAAATGAGCTGCAGCTGACCACGCCCCCCTGCAAAGGAGGGGGGCGAGGCACGAGCGTCATGTTACCATGCTGTTACCATGCTGTTACCATGCCACGGCAACCTCTCATTCCCCTGATAGGTGGAGAGTTGCCCATATAGGCGGAGCTCCTTGTTTCTGACGTCAGAGATATTTCAAATCTGTATCAGTCTGTATCAGATCCGTTGCAGCCCCGTTTTTAGAGATTTGGATATGGAGGAAAAGAGAGAGGGTTGTGTTTTCTGACACTTGGTGAGTTCCCTGACACACCGGGGACACATATTCATGTATAAAAGACGTACAAAAGTGCATTTTGCATGATAGGTCCCCTTTAAGTTCCACTTGATCTTTTCTAATTAATCCAGGAAAAAGGAGATATTTTCCAGATTGCGTTTCTTCCCTCTGCAGGCCAATCGTTTGAACTTGTTTTATTTTTTACCAAAGACTGACCATTTAATTGAAGGGATTTTTATTTAAAAGATATAATCATCACAAGGGAGTTCTGCTTAAAAGCCATAGAGAAAGTTTTGTTTTCAATCTACTCAAAACACAAATGCAGTTTACCTCAGCCAATGTTTTGTCTTCTGTAACACTGGGGCCCCCAGCTTCCCAAGGGCCACACAGGGTCTTCATGATCTAAGTTACAGCATGAAACCGGACAAAGCCAGTCCAGGAGAACAGGAAGTCTGTTATAGCCATTATATAGAGACCAACCCTATTCCATCCTAATGTGCCTGCATGGTCTTTTTTATATATATACATATTATATATATATATACCTTGTGCCTTTTTATTTGTCATATTTATCTATGGATCACACTTTTTTGTAAAGAACTTGCCTTACTTTTTTCTGTCTTTATATTTTTGTGCCTGATCAATGTTTATCAAAACGGAGTGTGTGTTTTAGACAGTGTGTGAATGGATTGTTCAGAGTTTTATTTGAATATGTATCAGTAATAAAATGTTTTTATATTCAATACCCTACATGCCGTTAATATGTGATCACAATTGCACAGTAGTAGAAAACACAGTACCATAACATTTTGTTTAGATAAGGGTCTAACTTTTTAGAGTGGGCTTCACCTCCTCCTGCTGCAGCAAGACGAAGACGATGAGGAGGAAGAGGGAAGGGACCATTTACCGGTTTGTACATCATCTCCCCTCTCTGGCAATACTGCAGCTATAAGCAGATTAATCTCTTCTGTGGTGAAAACTGATCGAACATGCAAACACAATTATTCTGGAGGAGACAAATGTGATCAGATAAAACACACACACACACACACACACACACACACACACACACACACACACACACACACACACACACACACTCTAGATGTGTCCCCCGCACCCTTATGTGGCAATCCCCCCATGTGAATCACACCTGGCACACACAAACACACACAGAACAATTTGACACATGTCCCGCTCTTATGTGCCCACCCGCCCCACATGGATCACACCTGGCACACGCAATACATGTTCAGTGTCTATTCTTTATATATTTACTGCAGTTTTTCATGTATACCAGTAGTCTGATACAATATTCACAGTTTGAAAGGGTGTTAAATGAAATGTGGTGATGATTAATGGTTTTTGTGTTAATGTAATAGCAGTTAAAACAGGACCGGTCAAATTTGACCGCGAACACCAAAGTAAGGGGGGAGGGGACGAAGACAATAGGAGGGTTAAGTGCATTATGTAAAACAATAGAATCACATGACCTTACAAAATAAGAGACCAAGAAGTCTAGTGTCAAAATGTGTCCTCTTTTGGGTATCTTATTTACTATTTACAATAAAGAAGTGATCAATGAAAAAGTCCAAATATGGGCTTTCCAAAGTATCTTGTTCTATGTTGCTGTCAACATGTCAATGTTAAAATAAAATAAAACACGTAGTTTATATTGTAAAAAATAAACCTTGGAGCAATATTTGTATATATTTTCTATACACACAAGTTCCTTTTAATCTACATTCACGGTTTACTTTACTTTACATTATAATCTATCTGTTAAATAGAAATTAAATGTACAATATTTGTAAAATGTACAATATGTGCCTCTTTAATGAAGGGGAGTGGTACCATACATGCGAAATACATCAAAAAATACACTTAAGTACACACCCTGGGTATATTTACTGGGTACTTTTCATCACGGATCAAGACCTGATGTTTACTGTAATCACAAATATTACTTTTTACAATGTTGTGTGATGGTTATCAACTCATATATGTTCACATACTCTATGGAGCATCATGCATAAACTTGTATTGAGGGCTGATCCACAATCAGTAATTTAATTCATGTTTCTACAACTCATAGGATCCATACAAATAAATTAGAAAGTTAAAATATCTAATAAAGAATTTGTGAAAATTCTGAATAAATGGTCTGCACTAGGTGTCGCTGTGTCCCTTTAGTTTGTGTGCCAGAGACATTTGGTGCCCCAGAAGAACTCCGTGCAGATAATTGGATAGGCGGGTCTGTTTGGCTAAGGATAACAGGTAAGGGTACACCGTTAATATTAGCAACATGCTAATAGCTAATTATCTGCAACACAATACATTCCCAATAAAACATGAACAACAAAACCCTCACTATCAGTTAATGAAGCACTAAAAGTTTATCGTATCATGTGAAACCAGCTTAGCTCGGTAGGAATGCTAATTAATGTACACAAACATTACTAAGGACTCGATGCAAGACTCCATTATAAATCCTGAAAATTAAGTGTTTTCATATTGACAAAAGCAAGCTACTCACCTCTTGTTTGATATTTTTAATCAACACAGTCAGGCTGACAATTCGGCGTGTAAGCAGTTGACCAATTATAATTCAACAATAAAGAAATGTGAGTACTAAACTCCATACAGATGCATAGTTGATACTCGACCAGCTAGATATAACTGTTTTTATTCAGAATGAGGTTGAATAACATTGCGACTTAGTGTGCTTCTAGCGTTCATAAAAGTAATTGTGTAAGCTGGGATAAGGTCATAAATTAATTATTTGATCTTTAAACGACTTCCAATGAAACCCAGAACATCCACGCTATAATTAGCCTGTTTGCTGTAACAGTGTTTGGGGGTCAAATATCAAACTTGAATGCTATTCATGCTCAATTTATACTAAAAAAGGATGCATCATGAATGCCAAACCACTTGCATTCAGATACATGTGTCAACCATTGTATCTGCATTCATAATACAAATACTGTATTTTGGAATTGCATGTGTTTTGTGCTTTGAAACCTTTGTATGAAGATTCAAAGTTTGTGCTAGACAAATATTTGTAGTTGTGAAATTGAAAGTGAGTGCTGTACACACAGAAACTCCCAGTATCTAATGACTCTATTTCCATGTGCTCTGGGTGACATCCCCTAGGCCACTTCTGTGTTACTTGGCCGTAGAAGTGTCACATTGTGTTGCATGTGGAACTAGTCTTTATTTAGCTTGGCATATCACCACGTCACAAGATCTCTGTCCATATGACCCAGGGTGCGCTGCTCTATTGTCAAAGAAGTGAAAGGAGCCACTGTCAACAGAGCTGGTAATTGAAAGTGGAATTAGATAAAGTTGCTATGTTGTACAAGTCATCAGATGTGTGTGAGAGAGTCTGCTTTTTAATTGACTGAAACCAGCCATTACTACTATAGATATGATCTGTTAAATCAAATGCTAACAGAATCGTTTTTCATCACTAGAAGTCTTGATCCACTACTTGCGAGATTCATTCATGGGAGAGGGGATGTCGGTCCCAGACGATTTGGAGCAGACGCTGGAGGTGCTGTCGACAATCAGTGGTGAGCATATCATCTAGTCTATCACCCTGAGGGGCTAAAATGTGCTTCAATGTGAATCAATGAAAGATATTATGCCGTGTTTTTGCATGTTGGACATTTGGCAAATGGGTATCTGACCCCAGGTGTCTTCAAGGATGTTGTGTTTATTTGTTTATAGTGTCGTGGACAGTCCCAATTGATTAACTGTCAGAAAAAACAGTAAATGGGGCAGCTTTAGCCAACATTGCTATTTCCAAATGATAATAGACACCTTTAAAATCACAATACATCAACAGCATTAGTTATAAAAAAATGTTTCACCAGACAAGTAGTACTTTAACCCAGTGTGAAAATGTACTTAACCTAGGGTTAGGGATACAAAAAAAATGATATTTTAGTGTCTTTTAATAAATATAATCATATATCTTGAGGTTTTGATACGCAATTATGTTGTTCAAATTGATAATATTGAGCAAAAGCTTAGGCAATGCCATTTAAATAATGCATTTTGCAATACCACTGAGAGATTATCGAACCACAAATATCAACATTTATAGCATTCAGCTTTAATGCTCAAATCCTGCGTGCCTTGTCATAATCTTATTTGTCTATATTTGTGTGCATGAAGACAAAAAAGTCATTGCATATTTGGAATATTTCCTCAGGAACACACATAGAGGGAATCTCTCCAGATTTGGGACAAACATCCACTTGGACATAAGGATGAATTTATTAGATTTTAGTGGACAAAGGTCAATGTCACTGTGTAACCCCACAACACAATAATACCAGGAAAAAACCATTATGATAATTGTAGTTAATGAAATATGAAATGATCGAGTAAGACAGTTTGGCAGAACATCTGTAGATGACCGGCAAACATACTCAATCAAATGATGGTCTGAGGCAGAAAACTATGACTATATTAGGTTTCCAAGACATGGGAAATATTTGGGAAAACTTAATTTAGCGAGCATCATGCAGCATTCATTTGAATTAACATTTCTTATCCCTGAATCAGTCTTGAAATGGTTATAAATCTTGATCTAAGTTAGGTTTCAAGTTGGGTTTTGTGCAAGCCATTTGCAAAAACAAAACATAGATGTCAACTTCTATGTAAATGTAAGACAACAACCAATCCATTATTCATCTGTTCAAATTAATACTTCATCCTATATCAGGAAAAAGTCAGATAATATTAAGTCGGATAGATTGATCAGTTTTTGATATTGTCAGGATTTTCCATTTATTGCCGTTGTTGGAAAGACAGAAACAGAGTAGCTGTATGGATTGATTTTAATAGTATCAGATGATATAACCAGTATGAACTCTTATAAAATCAGAACAACAGTGCAGTTTGAGAATAGTCTGTATGGAAAACAAGCCAGCATGATTGAGTTAGCTGGCAGTGTGATTAGTTTTGAAGGAGGGCAAAGGTTTTGATCTCTGCCTCTTCGTCATGATTAACTAATCAATCGAATGAATGCCACATAATGAGGAGTGCATGACCATCTTCGCTCGCCGCCGTTTGAAGTTTAAATCAGGAATGTTTTCTGCGATTGTGTGCTGATAAATTAGGTGAAATAAAGATAATGTGATATACGGATGGCACCAGTTTTACTGTTCTCCCCATTGCCAGTAATGCCTACAAAAAGCTGAAACCTTATGTCAGAAGCTCCTATTGTCCGAGGTGCTGCATATTACATGAGTCGTGTCGGAGCAGCTTTAAAATCAGCTGTGGTCTAGAGAGAACAATCAGTTAGGTAACAAACGTACAGCAACACAATATTCATATTCAAGGCAATAAAGATCTTTATACTTGCAAGTATGACGTCTCCTCCAAAAGAGCACGTCCTGTTCCGAGTGAAACAGGCTCTCTTTATAAGAGGACATCACAAAGCAGATGTATATGATACTAACAACATTCTGGGAGGCCAGCTGATACCCCCTCTGACACTGAATGCAAAAACATCACACCCTACAAGACAAATGGGATATACAGATACCCCTCAGACACAGTATGCAAAAACCTCACCCCCTAAACACGTCTGTTGATCACACATACATCTAAGGTTCACTCACAAGAGATGACCTAATCAGAAGGTTAGCAATGTTAACACATTTGATCGCACAATTTCCTTAACAGTCGTAAACAGGACTATTAGGTTATCGTCAATTTTGTTGACATTGACAACCCTTGGCATAATGTCTTATTGAGTTAAAGAAGAAATAAAAAACAGGAAGAAGGTGTTTTTTGTTCATCATTTTGGAGGCTGCAGTTTGCTGTGGAATTGTATTGCATTAAATCATGCTGATATAAATAAGGTGGATACAATCTTATAAACTATCTTAGTCTAATTCAGGAGCTTTTTAAAGCTTGTATTGCTCTTTAACTGTCAATGTCAAACTGGCAACAGACTGAGAATGAATAGCGGCCATCAGACCTGATATTTGATTCAAATTCAGCTGTTTGTAATATAATCATTCATAGTGATAGAGGCCTTGTGTTGATAAGAAACCAATCACTAGTTCACTCATTAGCATAGAGGGAGTTGTTTGTCTGTTGTTGGGAAGATTATGAGATAGGGAACTCTTCCTTAAAGGAGGGAACTTTGGGATTTAAGCCTTTTCAGACCATTTACATGTACCAAAAACTATATAACTCACTACAGGAAGGGACTAGCCGCTCACGCCTACATTTGTGCTTACTTTTGTACCCTGGTGAGCCCAAATATCACACGCATATTTGCCAAGCTAGTATAATTAGCTGTAGGGGGGTTTATGTCATCCCTCCACCCTCTCTTCCTGTGATAAACACAGAGCTGAACATGAAGCGAGATAAACAATCACACATTCAGAAGGGCAACACAGCGGCTAAACCGAGGAGGAGTGTGGAATAAGCTAATGGCATGCAACTTTTAGAGATATGACCATGTCTCTTTTTGAGTTAATTCAAGTGAGCCAGGAGCTGATGAGCGGACTGCTTCACAATGTGTTCGTGTCTCTCAGTCTGTTGACCCGACACACACACAGCAGGAGCTGCAGATCTACAGGTCAGTGGTAGTGTGGGATGGTTGCGACGATTCAGGTTTTATTTTGTGGATTTTAATGTCAAAAGAGCGTTCTCTTTTTCAAATCAATGTGACAGGATGACAGGATTTCCTATCGGCACGGGGAGATTCCCCCTGCCGTGTTTCCCCCTCATCCTTCAAACATAATGGAAGAACTGCACTTATTAGTTTCCTCGTTGATGCTACAGCTGTTTGCGGTAGTTATGGTGGATTTTCCATGTTCTTTTTGTCTCATTGTTGTTTGCAGTTTGCAAAATAAGTTGCTCTTGACTATAGGAGGAAAATATTGAGCATACCAAATAAATACCAGTACTTTCTGTATATTAAAAAACCCCAATATACCTTGTGGAGTTGTTGAAAGACACTAGTTCCTGCCTGGTTTCTGGTCTTTGTGCTAGGATTATATTGAAATTGTCAATATTCTGAACGTCCCAACATGTTTCTTTCTGTTGAAGCTTAGCTGTCACTTTAAAAGTTGTCTGGAGTGTTGCACTGTGACCTCTGTAACTGATTACCTGCTATAGCCTTTGTGAGTAGCTAGTTGATAACCTACATTACATCTCAATACAGCAGCAGAAATGTCTGTTAGCGTGGTTAATGGACGGACAAAGAAACTGATTAGAAAGACAGACTGGTGTTTGAGTTAATCATGTCTGAAACTCTCTGCTGTGTCTGTCAACCTGCAGAAAGGAAGCGGAAACATAAATCCACGCAGACCAGCAGACGAGGTGAGGAGCAGGAACATTTCCACTGGTTTCACTTTGCAAAGGTCATATTATAGTCGTAGTTTAGGTCAAGTTTAGTCGGTTTTTCTGTGAGCAACGTGGTACAGCCTAATCAATATTTGTCCACATGAACTTTCTCACTAGGTCAGAGGAGTAATCTAGGTTTGTAGACATTACCTGGGAGGATGATTTTGTGTTGGAGCTTTTCTGTTCAAACACTGTAATCCCTTCAGGCTTCACCACATCTGACTTCATGTGTACTGCTAATGATACTGGCAGCCGAATAAACGTCATGTTTGTTGTTTGGGTGTAGTTAGTTTCACCATTTTGTGTCACTTATGGTTCCCAATCAAAAAAGATACAGCCAAATTGCCACATTTGAGGCTTCAAAACTGTGCTCCGCAAACAAATGAGCAATTACACAGTGACTAAGTCCACTCTTATATAGGGTCAATGAGTAATGCTTTAAAAATACGGCAGGTCCCGGCTGGACTATGAAGTGTTTCCACGTCAGTTATTTGTCTTAAATCGTAGTAGTATTTGGAAAGGATCTTCTAAAACCTCTTAAGCCCAAGCTGACACCACTGTTTAAGGAAAGAGTATTTTAAAGACTGAACACTACATGCAATTGATTGATAGGATTACTTTTTGTGTGCATGTGTGTGGTCAAGATATGGACAGGTGATTTAATTTCTATACCAGTAAATATGATAGTGGCATGCCCAGTTTTCCACAGAAGCAGGGAGGGGCACATGGGAGAGGAGTGGTGTGATCACTCTCTTTGAAAGGTGTGTGCAAAAGAAACAGGGAGGGAGGGTTTGTAAAAAGAATTGAGAGCAGGACGTGGTACTCTTCTCTCTCTACCTGCTGTGAGGGAGGAAGAGGGAACACACGGGATGAAGGAGTTGACGGGAAGACGGGAATATGGAGCGGAGAGGTTTGTCCGCATCTCGCTGGAGGAGATGGAGAGCTACTACAGATGCACCCAGTGCTGCCAGCAGCTGCATAGTGAGTTTATACACAGATGTGGTTCAAACTGTAGTGTGTGAGGTGTGTCCGTGCATGGAGAGTCTCATGTTCATGGGGAAGGAAGTTCTCAGTATAAAAAATGAAACTGCTTTTTTCTCTTAGCTGGGTCTTTTTAGCCACGTGATGATCACAGGTCTTGGATGTAGTTTCCAGTTTTGACCCTTGGTCTTCTATGACCCTCAACTCTTATGAAAAAGTCTTCAGTGACTACTTGCTGCAAGCAACCATAGCAACCCTTAAAACATGTAGAAAAGCAACGGTCCCTGCTGTCATGAGTTTCTTTTTCTAATGAAGAGAAAGCTTTCATGACAAAGAAGTCATTCTTGTTTTATTGGAAGTAAAAATGACTAGTGGCGTTCACTGGTCTTACAAAGTCTGCAGGGTGACGACAGTACATATAAACTGATTGTGGCTAAACAGCATTTGGTCTTCAAGGCATTTTCACACGCTTTTATATCCTATCTCCTATTTCTACATCGTAGCCCCTGCACATATTTACAACAGAAGATAATCAAATCCAAAAATAGCGCAAAAAAAAACGGTTCCTTCTGTTAAATGTCTCCTCTTCCTCATCACAGGAGCTCAAAGTAAACGTGGGAAAAGAAAGATTATAAGAGTTTATTACTACATCCTTATTTACTCAAGGCGGTTCAATAAAGGTTGGCATAATTATGCTACAGCCTGCGTGTTATCATGCATGAGGAGTGTGCAGTGTGTGCTCGATGATTTTTCAGATCTTACTGCCTGTCAGCGACGGTTCAGAACTATTCTGGTCTGCTTCCTGTGGTCTGTATTTAGAGAAGACGTGTGTATTTTTAGAAAGAGCTATTGTAGATATGCTTTGTCACTGGGACAGGTGCTTCAATCTGGCACTTGATGTTTCCCTCCTTGCTGTTGCTTCATCAACTCTACTTACAGCTTGTTTTATGGTATTTAATGGTTTGTAGATTTCTCTTTGAGGCTCTCACTTTTTAAATCTCATGTTTTTTTTAACGGTCAGCTGCTCTTACTTCCTCTGGTGTTTTCCTGCAGCATGATCCATCCTGATAGTCTTCCCCCTATTTGTCAAAACTTCCTCTTTCCTCAGTATTCTCGTGAGTTTGCTTTCGTTTTCATGATTTTCGCGTCTTTCGCATGAAATCATTCATCATTCATCACCTGCTGACCTTTTTAAATAGAAAGGTTCAAGGTTCTTTATTGTCAAACTGACATAGCTACAGAGTAATTATGTTGTTGAAAATCTTATGTCACAGGCTTCTCCAACAATGCAACATAATAACATACAGATAGCAAGAGCAATACAAAAAGAAAAATAGTTATAAAATAAAGTGAGCATGTGGAAGAGTGCAGTACGAGTCTATATACAAGTTATTGGAATTAGATATTAGATACATATTACTGAGTAGCAGATGAATGTTTTTGAAGTTGTTTCAGCAGTTCAATTGTTTAACAGTCTCACTGCCCGCGGGAAGCAACTGTCTCCGAATCTTCCGAAAATCCCCGGTCATGATCAGTCGTTCCTGATGTTAGTGCCCCTGACCCCTCCTCTTCTTCAGGTTTATTGTCTTCATCCTGATCAGGGATTTATTGGAGGGATGTGAGCCACAAGCGCCATAGACACACATTTATGAGCTGTTTTATTGCACGTCTGATCAGAGGAGTATTGAATTTATATTATACTTGAACATGTGGGATTAATGACAGGTTTCATAAGAGAGTTTTCATAGTTTTCCTGCTCTTATGGTTCTCCCCAATATCCTGCTTTATCCCATAGACCAGTTTTTCTTTAGTTTCATTAGCCAGTAAATTGCGGACTATTGAGTTGTCAAACTGTCCACTTGTTCACACCTTCAGTTGTCTTCCTTCGTTTCCTCTGCTGCTTGTTTCGGACTGTGAGTCACTTCTCAATTGCTGACTTCCTGTTTACGCTCCAGCTGGCCAATAGTGTTTGATCCTGCGGAGGAAGGAGTCGATAGTGTTTCATTTTAGCCAACACAGACGTGGGGGGGGGGGGGGGAAAGTCTCAAATAAATAATTCAGCTGGGAGTTATTCTAGCTGCAGTCTGCAACACATCCTTAATACACACACACACACAGGTCCCCTTTACATCCCGTATACACACACTGAAGTCTGCTCTGCATCCCATGTAAACACACACGGATCTCAACAAATATTTTTAACTTGAGGTTGATCTTATAGTCGCAAGTGTCATATTAACTGACGCACTTACACACACCTAATGTCCCTCCTGTCCTAAAAATTACGTAAATCAATTTGAATTAGACCTGCTTAAGATTAGGTCATATTAAAGTGTGTGTGTGTGTGTGTGTGTGTGTGTGTGTGTGTGTGTGTGTGTGTGTGTGTGTGTGTGTGTGTGTGTGTGTGTGTGTGTGTGTGTGTGTGTGTGTGTGTGGTGTGTGTGTGTGTGTGTGTGTGTGTGTGTGTGTGTGTGTGTGTGTGTGTGTGTTGTGTGTGTGTGTGTGTGTGTGTGTGTGTGTGTAGTGTGTGTGTGTGTGTGTGTTGTGGGTGTGTGTGTGTGTGTGTGTGTGTGTGTGTGTGTAGGTGTGTGTGTGTGTGTGTGTGTGTGTGTGTGTGTGTGTGTGTGTGTGTGTGTGTGTGTGTGTGTGTGTTGTGTCGTGTGTGTGTGTGTGTGTGTGTGTGTGTGTGTGTGTGTGTGTACTGTAAATCGTCCACACGTACAGAGATAGGAAATGAACCATTATAAACCCTCGGCCATTTCCTGTCCCATAGCCAGCGTGCTCTCTCTATCATCTAAATCTGACAGTAGGTAAACACACACACACACAGTCAGTCTTTCACGGACTTTCATTGTTCCTTTCAGATCTTTTTAAATCCTGTTGAATCCCTTCATTAATCGATAATCTTATCTCAGACTAGACGGAGAGATGCCTCTTTAATCTAACTCTTAATCTCACATATGCATTGTTTTTCATCTCCTCTTCCCGTCTAATCCCAGTTCTACGGTTCACGGTGAAAGCAGGAACCACAAATGTCAATATTTGTGAATAAAACAGTGATAACAACAGTTAATTGAGAGATGATAATTGACATGAAACCGACAAAGGTTAGGGTGGAGAATGAGCGAAAGATAGTGTTTGCTTTCCTCAGGGGGGCAGCATTTAATGAATTAAGTCCTGACGGGTTTATTCACATATCAGTCAGTCCAAATTCTCACTGTGTCTGTGTGTGGCACACTGGGTCCCCCTGCTGTCTTCACTGGCATTGTGTGTGTGTGTGTTTTGTGCCCGTGAGAGGGTGTGAGAAAAGCAGAGAGAAAGAGGCCAGCCTCCCCTCTGGCACTGACATGGGTCTCATTTGAATTGTGAGCAGCACACACACACTTAATCTTTTCTTTACATTAGGCTAATTAGATTTTCTTTTCTTGGAGCGTTTAAATGTTGGGATATCTGACATTTGAAATATGAATGTTCCCTTCCACTAATGTACATAACTCTTGTTGAAGTATACTTTATTACTATCTATTCGCTTGTTTTAGTGCACTTATAAGATACCACAAAAATACAAAAACATCAGCAAGAAAAATGTAAACACACAGATCAGTATCAGCCAAAGATATAATTTGGACCCTATTTACATACTGCCTAAAATACATTTAACGTCTAATTTCTCGACTTAATGTCATGGAACCTGGCTGGAAATGATCAAACATAGTTATTATTTTAATGAACTGTAATCATCTTTATGTGTGAGCAGTTATTGTCACTGCACAGGGCTGAAGTCTTTCAGTGTGACATGTGAAACTGGGGGCGGACCGTGTGGAACTCCTCCTCACTGGCTGGTACAGATGGGGAGGGGGGAGGTGTGTGTGTGTGTGTGTGTGTCAGAGTGTGTGTGTGTGTGTGGGCTGCGCTGATCACTGACAGCTCAGTAAGCGGCTGAAGTCCTCGGCTGTGGAGGAATGGACCGCCGCGATGTGCTCCGTGTGTGAATG